TCACAATGTCCCCATATACTTGGATGTCTCTGTCCAATATCGGCCAGACATTTCTCCTGTGAACTCCCAGGACAGATCCTCAATGAACCCCCTTTGATTTGGCTCCAGCTCCTTTCAGAAAATAGGTCCCCTAACACCCACTGAGCTGACACTTCAGACACTTCTCCTGTGAACTCCCAGGACAGATCTTCAGTGAACCCCTTTTGATTTGGCTCCAGCTCCTTTCAGAAAATAGGTCCTCCAACTCCCACTGAGCTGGGACCTCGATGAACTTCTGCAGACTTCAGCCATTCTGCCCAGAAGGGCAACAGCCCTTCAGACTCGGGGTCTTCACCTCCTGGACAAGAACCCTGCTGCCCGATGCCCCAAACTATGTATGCACTCCTTAGCCACCTACTGGGCATCTTCTCCCCCAGGGACTGGCCAAGACCACATGAATATTCAAGCCCAGGGTCTGCCTCTTCCAACTACAGTCTAGAATCCACACTAGAAGGCCTGCAGTCAGTGAGATCCAGAACAGCCAAAAATAATCACACATCATTCTAATGATTACATAGGAACTAAAGAACTAAATTTACCTATTTAACTATTTTAGGAAGATGCTACAAAGATATCAGCCACACTGAGAGTGCATTGTCTTCAAATAGTCAGCTGCCCTACAGGCTTGGATTGTCAGGTGGTGCAGCAGTGACTTACAACCACTATGTGGCACTGTAGAGCAGGAAGCATTGGCTGTGTATGTAATGAGTAGACATGGCTGCCCCTATATACACATATATAAATATAAAATATACCAGGAAACAAGTTTTTTTTTAAACATTAATATGCAATAATAAGTATACTTCCATGCACCTGATCTCTTTCACAAATAAATCTTCGAACCTCATATATTCCCTTTAAATATACCATCCTAATGCTTTTGGGCTATAGCCATCAGGGTGCAGAACAGACAATGGTAGATGGACTGATAAAACAAAAAAATGTGATATAATACACAGGGGTACAGAAGCAGATGCAATGTTTCTTCCTCTCTTTGCTACTACATCAAAATGAGTTACCTCAGCAGTTGGATTTGTGCGGCAGATAAAGGCCTAAGTGAAGAATGGGTGTCTTCAAGGTGAATTTGATTTACAGAGGCTGTCAAAAAAGCAGGCAGTGTGCCCGGGAGCCCTTGTTATCCATGCTGCAGACGGTCCCAGAATAAAACAGTTCTCTAAAAAAGGAAGGGCGAGATTTTTTAATAAAGGTGTGATAACGAGGACCGCGCTCATGGGGCAGGGGTAAAGTCAAGTATTGAAAAAGTGGTACAAATCTGTGTAACCATTAAATGTACAGATATAAGGGGGTTTGCTATATTATTAGCTCAAAGCAACCTTTTCCTTTGCCAATGTTCCCCAAAACCATTGCTGGTTATATAGACCAGTGATCTCCAAACTGTGGCCCGGGGCCAGATGCAGCCCTTTGCTTGATTTTATTCAGCCCTCGGGGCACTATTTTATCCACTGATACAAACAATGGAGCATAATCTCTTCCCCCATTGACCCCAATGAAGGGGCACAATGACACCAGTGATGAGGCACAATTCCTCCCAATCACACCTTCAGTAGGGCACAATTCCCCCCAATGACACCAGATATAGGGCACAATTCCTCCCAGCCACACCTTCAGTAGAGCACAATTCCACCCAATCACACCAGATATAGGGCACAATTCCTGCCAATCACACCTTCAGTAGGACACAATTCCTCCCAATGACACTAGAGATAGGGCACATCCTCCCAGCCACACCTTCAGTAGGGCACAATTCCACCCAATCGCAACAGATATAGGGCACAATTCCTGCCAATCACACCTTCAGTAGGGCATAATTCCTCCCAATGACACCAGAGATAGGGCACAATTCCTCCCAATCACACCTTCAGTAGGGCACAATTCTTCCCAATGACACCAGAGATAGGGCACAATTCTCCCAATCACACCTTCAGTAGGGCACAATTCTTCCCAATGACACCAGAGATAGGGCACAATTCCTCCCAATGACACCAGAAATAGGGCATAATTCCTCCCAATGACACCAGAGATAGGGCACAATTCCTCCCAATCACACCTTCAGCAGGGCACACTTCCTCCCAATGACACCAGAAATAGGGCACAATTCCTCCCAATGACACTAGAAATAGGGCACAATTCCTCCCAATGACACCAGAAATAGGGCACAATTCCTCCCAATCACACCTTCAGTAGGGCACAATTACTCCCAATAATGCCAGAGATAGGCACAATTCCTCTCAATCACACCTTCAGTAGGGCACAATTACTCCCAAAAATGCCAGAGATAGGACACAATTCCTCTCAATCACACCTTCAGTAGGGCACAATTCCTCCTAATGACACCAGAGATAGGGCACAATTCCTCCCAATAATGCCAGAGATAGGACACAATTCCTCCCAATCACACCTTCAGCAGGGCACACTTCCTCCCAATGACACCAGAAATAGGGCACAATTCCTCCCAATGACACCAGAAATAGGGCACAATTCCTCCCAATCACACCTTCGGTAGGGCACAATTCCTCCTAATGACACCAGAGATAGGGCACAATTCCTCCCAATCACACCTTCAGTAGGGCACAATTCCTCCCAATCACACCAAAGACGGGTTCATTGTTATTTCCCACTGACACTGGGACTTTTTTTTACTCCCAATGGTCACAGTCTGGTCCCCCAAAAGTCTGAAGGACAGTAAACTGGCCCTTTGTTTAGAAAGTTTAGAGACCCCTGATATAGACAGTCTTTACCGCAGAGACCCAGGTATTCCTTCATGGGGTGCCAGCATCTTGCCTCTCACACAGCATAGAGGAGGTAAATCCTGGGTGTCAATCATAGCCCGGACTTCAGATGCCTCATCCATTTCTGTGACACTGCTCTCTGCATACTTAGGGATGGTTTAGAGAAGGAAATGAGGCCTTAGCTGTTGACAAAAATTCAAAATTTGCATATCAAAAACTGTAATGGTACATTTATGCAATGAAAACCTCCAATGGGACTTTCAGTGGCATGAAGCAATCAACTAAAAGGTAAAAGATGCAAAATATTTTTTTACAATTTTACAATGAAATTTATTATATGCAACAACAAAACAAAGTCACATCAAATGTTAGGCAGAGTCATGCTTCAGAAACACAAAAACAAAACCCATGTATAACAGGCGGGGACTAAATCATAACGCATCCCACAAATAGATTTCTTCATGGCCCAGCTAGAAATTCCACTGCGTTTCACTTGCCGTATCTATCATCATCAGGGAAAGGGTTTGCTCACTGATGACTTGGCTAAGGCTTATAAACAGATGCCCCAAATGTGGAGGTAGAAGTTAACAGGAGTCATCTGGGGCGGCATATACACATGCAAGGGACCATGGACGAGCCCGAGGCCAGTCTCAGGGAACAGAAACACAGATGGCATGGACAGGGGCGGACTGACAACTCATGGGGCCCCCGGGCAATAGGGGATCATGGGGCCCCTGTGTCCTTGCCCAAAGTTAAAAAAGCCTATGAAAAAGGTACCAGGGGCATCTCATGGGGCCCCTACTGACCCCGGGCCCTCGGGCAGTGCCCGAGTTTCCAAATGGTCAGTCCGCCCCTGGGCATGGACAATCCTGTAGAGCTCATACCCGGAAAACGTAATATGCTGCTGCCAAGTAAGTGCCAAAAAGACATCAAAAACCTTTTTTTTATACATACATAGTTGATTGCTTCATGCCACTGAAAGTCCCATAAATAGTATTGAAGATAGAAAAGATATTAGTGGTGCACGGAAAATGAAAATTGAGGATGCACTTGGCCTAAAACCAAAACCGAAAAGGACAGTTTTTTTTAAAAAAAAAAAAAAAAATTTATATATAATTGTATTATATTTGACTTTTCAATTAATATCATGAATTTAAATGAATATGAATGAAAAAATACAATCCAGTTATGGAAAAAAAACTTTTACTGAAAGTAACACACAAAAATTGGACAAAAAACAAAAATTGAAATATATATAAAATTAAAAAACCTAAATAGAGGCATATTTGCATTGAAGTCAATAGGACGCAACTTTGCATTGAAGCCAAATGGGATGCAAATTTGTTTTGAAATCAATGAATTGCGATTTTGCATTGAAGTCAGTAGGGGGTGTTTTTGCATTGAAGTCAGTAGGATGCAAATTTGCATTGAAGCCAATGGGACGCAAATTTGCATTGAAGTCAATGAAATGCGCTTTTGCATTGATGTCAACAGGGGGTGTTTTTGCATTGAAGTCAATGGGATGCAATTATGCATTGAAGTAAATGAGATGCGATTTTGCATTGAAGTCAATTAACATTATTGGCACTTTTTTTTTTATAAACGTCTTGTTAGTCTGTTATCTGCATGAATCACTTCTTACACATTTTCCTGACTCCAAGAGGTAAAAAGGTAATGGGGGAGCTCCAGCACACAGCTTGTGATTGATAGCCTCAGCTCTGTTTCTGTGTGCTGTGTGAAGGAGGTGATGTTCTTTTATGTTTTTGATTATTATGTTTATTGTGTGGATATATGTCATAACTCCGTTGTTTATGTATATTCTTTTTGATGTACTGTAGACTGTATTGCGGTTGAAGCTTCTCTCTCTCCCCTGAAGAAGCCCTTGTTGGGCAAACATGTAGGGAATTACTGCAACAATACAGCCAAGTTTCAATTTTTGTTTTTACAGTATTGTAATTATTTACTTTTTTTCTTTCCCTTCTTTTTGTAAGATTAAATAACATTTATTGTGATTTTTAAATCTTTATCATTGTAATTTTGCACCCTGAAAATCCCACACTATCTAATTCAACCTTTTCAAATTCCAGGGATGTGGTGCGATTTATATATCCTGTCACTCACTCGCCACTTCTTGACAATTAGGACTTTGGTGTTTTAAAAGCGTGCTTATTCTTTCATCTACCCAAATATCCAACTAACTTCTACTTTCAGAACTTTGGAAAGTGAACCAGAGCCATCCGCGGCACAGAAATAGCTCAATGCAGGGCGTAAATTGTGAGCTGGCTTCTTCCGCAAGCAGCTATTTCAAGAAGGCGCTCTCTGCTTTCCGCAGGAAGATTGGACCCGGTTAATAGAAGCAAAAGGACAGCCAAATGAAACCTATTCATTTAAACAATTAATATGATTGAGCCAATGCCTGGACACTGAATACACCATACAGAACATGCTGATTACCTATTAAATACGATACTTTTATATACGCAGCAATTTCCAACTTTGACAGATAGATACCGCTTACCCCCTCCATGCCTATTTTCTTTCCTTGGATATGTTCATAGAGAATATCATTTAGGTAAATATAGGATGTCATATTTTTTTTTGTATGGTGATTGGCATTTTTTTTAAAGAATATTGCACCATTACAAGAAGCCTAAATGGAAATGGCAAGGTTCCTAATATCAAGCAGCTTATAATAACAGTCACAAATATAAAATGCAGAAAGAGGCCAGCATCAGGAAAAGTGAGAGATATCCAATACTTAGGCCTCACGCACATTGTGCTTTTTAAAACCACTGGTAGCGTTAGCTGAAAAAAGTCATGTTAAAACGGTTGCAGACGAGACTGCACCAACATGCAGTACTGATGGGCACAGATAAGCGGCACAGATGGGCATTGATAGGTGGCACTGATGGGCACTGCTGAGCATTGATGGACGGCACTGACAGCCAGCACTGATGGGCACTTATAGCCAACACTGAAGAGGCACTGATACTAGGCACTGTTGGACACTGACAGCCAGCACTGATGAGCATTGATGGGTGGCACTGACAGCCAGCACTGATGAGCACTGATAGCCAACACTGAAGAGGCACTGATACGAGGCACTGATGGGCACTGACAGCCAGCACTGATGGGCACAGGTGAGCATTGATGGGTGGCACTGACAGCCGGCACTGATAGCCAACACTGAAGAGGCACTGATGCTAGGAACTGATGAGCACTGACAGCAAGCACTGATGGGCACTGATGAGCATTGATGGGCGGCACTGACAGCCAGCACTGATGGGCACTGATAGCCAACACTGAAGAGGCGCTGATACTAGGAACTGATGGGCACTGAAAGCCAGCACTGATGGGCACTGATGAGCATTGATGGGCGGCACTGATGGGCACTGATAGCCAACACTGAAGACGTACTGATGGGCACTGACAGCCAGCACTGATGGGCACTGATAGCCAACACTGAAGAGACACTGATACTACGCACTGATGGGCACTGACAGCCAGCACTGATGGGCACTGATGAGCATTGATGGGTGGCACTGACAGCCAGCACTGATAGCCAACACTGAAGAGGCACTGATACTACGCACTGATCGGCACTGATGAGCATTGATGGGTGGCACTGACAGCCAGCACTGATGGGCACTAATAGCCAACACTGAAGAAGCACTGATACTAGGCACTGACAGCCAGCACTGATGGGCACTGATGAACATTGATGGGCGGCACTGACAGCCAACACTGATGGGCACTGATAGCCAACACTGAAGAGGCACTTATACAAGGCACTGATGGGCACTGACATCCAGCTCTGATGGGCACTGATAGCCAGCACTGAGGAGGCACTGATACTAGGCACTTATGGTCACTGATGGGGCTACACCAGGGGCGGACTGACCATTTGGAAACTCGGGCACTGCCCGAGGGCCTGGGGTCAGTAGGGGGCCCCATGAGTTGCCCCTGGTACTTTTTTCATAGGCTTTTTTGAGTTTGGGCAAGGACACAGGGGCCCCATGATCCCCTATTGCCCAGGGGCCCCATGAGTTGTCAGTCCGCCCCTGGGCTACACAGATCATCAGGGCACTGATGATCAGTGTAGATGTCCCCTCTGCCAGTTACCATCTCTCCTCTCCTCACGTGCTGTAAGCATGAGGAGAGTACTGCCGATAACCAGCATTTCCTATTTACATGCAATCAGCTGTGATTGGACCCAGGTGATCACATGGTAAAAGGTGGCTCTGAGTGTCCCTTTATGTGGACACGTGATCAGCTGTGTTTGAAGGAAACAGGGATCACAGCCCATGCACAGAGCACGCCCCAGGTGGCACGTGGAGGGTATGGTTCTGGGAGGACCTCAATGGACACCCTCCCAAAACTAGCTGTCATTTGGCTATAGCACAGTCGGGAAGTGGTTAAATAGATGCTCTGGACATCTAGTCTTACAGATACAACTGGTCCTTTGAGGGCAACCATAATGCTGATGTGGCCCACAATGAAATTGAGTTTGACACCCCTGTATATTACATCAGATCCCCACTCCCTACCTTCTGGAACTGAGAAAAAGCCTTTGATCTGTGTCTACTTTGAATGGCTATAGCAAAGAGAAGACGGCAAATAAACAGGTACAACTTATGTAGGAGAATTTGTTTAATCTCTGTGTATCACCTGAAGCCAGTCACTGTGCTGGGTATATGTAAGCAGGGCTGTGGATAAGGGAGTACTACCAGTCCTGTACGGGGCCCAGGCCAGCAGGGGGGCCCAGGCAGCTGGGTGAATTAGATGTGGACAGGGAGGGGGATTGGCACAGCGAGGGGGGAGCAATTACTGGAACTGATCCCCTGTATGGCTGAAAGCTGGCTTCTTCTCCTCTCCCTCCTGCTGCCTTTCAGCTGCTGCAGAGAGAGCCACACAGGGGATCGGTTCCAGTAACTGCCCCCCTCACCCCAGCACCCATCACCCTCCCTGTGCACCATATGTTTCTGCATGCTGCCCAGGCCTCCCTGTGTGCTCACACCCCCACGGGGCTGCCAGCTTCCCTCCTCCTCCTTCCTACCGGCAGCTGCAAGCACACAATAGGATCCTTCAGGATGGAGAGTGGGGTAAGGGTCTGGTAAGTATGTCACATTTACCAGCCCCTTTCTTTCTTGAATGAGCACAATGAGTGATTGGTATCAATCAATCACTGTGGTTATACATAACTAAAGCATAGTAAACTGTATTTTGGCAGGTTGGCTGTATGGGGCCCTGTGGTTTCCCGTATGTAAGGGTTTACAACCAATTTAGGTATACTAATTAGTCACACAGCAATAGATGCATGGTGGTGCTAGTAAATGTGGTCTTGGCCCCTAGGCTTCGATGAGCTCTGGTCACTTTCCCCACACTGCCTACCGACCTAGACCTGAATCCAGTATCTCTGCGTGTTACATGGAAATCGCAGGAAGCCATCCCTGAGCCCCCACCCTGCTCATCTCAAACACACTTGGTTTTTTTATCAAGGTATTGTTTACCGCAATTCAACACATGATTAATATTTGCCTCAACTCCCCGCTGCAGCCTGCTCACCCTCTCCCGGTCACACATTTTAAAATTGATCAGGTAATTTCTTCCTTATCAGATGATATGTCAAGGCAGAAGAAGAAGGCATCTGACCTACTTATAGCGCAGCATTTCAATGTATAAGCGATTCAAGGGCTTAGTTTAAAGATAAGTGTATAGGCTGACAAGTATGGATGGCTTTCAGGGACAGACGGCTGCGGAGACCTATCTGGAATTGGATTAATTCTTAAAGGAGGACTCCAGGAACAGCCGTTGGCATCTACCATAGACAAATAGAGTGGCTGTATTATTTATTATAGAAAACCCACAACTCTTTCTGTTAACAAGCACATTATTCTGAAGTGGGACTAGCATCAGATATATTTTATCATGCTAAATTAATATGTACAGTTGCAAGAAAAAGTATGTGAACCCCTTGGTATTACGTGGAGTTTTGCATGAATTGGGCATAAAAAATGTGCTCTGAACGTCATCTAAGCCACAACAATAGAAGAACACAGTCTGCTGAACATAATACTACACAAAGATTAGATGTTGCCATGGTTTAATTGCACATAACATGTAAACATTCACAGTGCAGGGAGGAAAAAGTATGTGAGGCCCTAGCTTAAAGACTTCTCCCAGAGCTAATTGGAGCCAGGAGTGAGCCAACCTTGACTCTAATCAGTGTGATGATATTGGATGTGTTGCTGACAGCTGTCCTGCCCTTAAAAAACACACACCTGTTTTGGGTTTACTGGTTTCAAGAAGCACTGTCTGATGTGAACCAGGCCTCGCAGAAAAGAGCTCTCAGAAGACGTACGATCAAGAATTGTTGACTTGCATGAAGCTGGAAAGGGTTACAAAAGTATCTCCAAAAGCCTTGATGTTCATGTGTCCACGGTAAGACAGACTGTCTACAAATGGAGAAAGTTTAGCACTGTTGCTACTCTCCCTAGATGTGGTCGTCCTGTAAAAATGACTGCAGAATGCTGCATGAGGTAAAGAAGAATCCCAGAGTGTCAGCTAAAGACCTACAGAAATCTCTGGCACATGCTAACATTTTTGTTGACACATCTACAATAAGGAAAACATTAAACAAGAATGGAGTACATGGGAGGACACCACGGAGGAAGCCATTGCTGTCCAAAAAGAATATTGCAGCACGTTTGAAGTTTGCAAAAGAGCACCTGGATGTTCCACAGCACTACTGGCAAAATATACTGTGGACAGATGAAACCAAGATTGAGTTGTTTGGGAAGAACACACAACACTATGTGTGGAGAAAAAAAGGCACAGCACACCAACATCAAAACCTCATCCCCACTGTAAAACATGGCGGAGGGAGCATCATGGTTTGGGGCTGCTTTGCTGCCTCAGGGCCTGGACGGATTGTTGTCATTGATGGGAAAATGAATTCCAGAGTTTATCAAGACATTTTGCAGGAAAATGTACGACCATCTGTCCGCCAACTGAAGCTCCGCAGAGGATGGGTGATGCAACAGGACAATGACCCAAAGCATACGTAATTCAACAAAACAATGGCTGCAACAGCACAGAATACGCTTTCTGGAGTGGCCCAGTCAGAGTCCTGACCTCAACCCGATTGAAATGCTGTGGCATGACCTTAAGAGAGCGATTCACACCAGACATCCCAAGAATATTGCTACACTGAAACAGTTTTGCGAAGAGGAGTGGTCCAAAATTACTCCAGATCGTTGTGCAGGTCTGATCTGCAACTACAGGAAACGTTTGGTTGAGGTTATTGCTGCCAAAGGAGGGTCAACCAGTTATTAAGTCCAAAGGTTCACAT